TTCCTAACCAAGTCACAGATACACTAGGCAAGTTACGAATTTCAAATTCAAGTGGCCAAACGAATGCATATGAACCTGTTCACAAATTGGGTACAAGTCCTACAACTGTTACCTTCTCCAAAAGAGTACCCCAAACAAATGCAAAACAAATTGGCTCAGCCCAAGGGAAAAGCCCAAATGGAGGGGAAGGGAGTTCCCAGTTGTACATGCTGGGGCGACTTACCCTACTTCCTAATCAAGCCCGTCCGCTCGCAGACACACAACAAAGGGTCAAGTCCAACAACCCTGATCCTGCTCTCAGACGGAGGCCCCCCAAATGCAGATGGCTTTGTCCTGAGGGAGAGAAAAGCTCAGATAGAGAGCAAGGATTCCGGACTGTGCGTGGGGGAGCAACTTACCCCAGAAACAAAACCACTGGGAGACCAAAGTCCAAAGATGTTTCCTTATTCCAAAGGAGCCATAGGCTGAGGGCAGCCAGCCCCTGCCAGGGAAAGTCCCTCCTGAGCCCGCAAGGCTAAACGGTCCTGGCAGCTACTAGGGACTCACAGTGGGGAATTCCAGCTGGGGCTGGCCTGCCACAGGCACCATCTCCTGGCTGGCTCTCCAAATTGTTACTGGTCCAAAGTCTGTATGCCCGGAAGCTTCAAAAGGCCAAAACTCAACTCAGGGTTTGGAGTTAGAAAAGATTTATAGATCAAGGCAACAAGGAGATGAGACCTAATCCTCAAATCCATCTCAAAAGAGTGGAGTTCAGGCTTCTTTTATGTCAAGGGAAGGGAAATTGGGAGGGGCTGTTTTTGTGAAACTCAAGCACAAGCAGAGTTCCTCTAATGATTAGCGTGTCTATATGCCAGACAAAGCAGGAGCTATTAGCCTGAAGGCCATGGGCACAAGGCAAGCTTGCCCATCATGGAGTCAGAGAGGATGAGCATTTCACTGTTACAAATGCACTCTATGAAGTGGTATGTGGGAAGTCTCCTTTCAGCTCTGCCACGAATTACAATCTGACTATAGCTACCTAGCTGAATCTTTTAAAGACATCTTCATACAGTTATAAAGTCTTAATGACATGATAATATGACTTTATAAACTATAAAACGTAAAATATCTTATTCTCTTTTTTCCTCCCACTGAGTTCTCACTCATTCCCAGAAGTCATTTAAAAAGACTAGTACATTTTGGCAACATAAAAAAATTAAATTTCTACATAATAAAAACAAAAAAACATAAATGGGGGTGAATAGATTAACTGCAAAGCATTTGCAATACCGGGGGAGCCAAAAAATGTGTACACATGGCTTGTATTCATCTTTTGTCATCAGTATATATTACAATTTTAAGTTTTTTCCTTTCTTAAAATGTGTATATATTTTTTGGCACCCTCTGTATATAAGACAATCTAATACTAAGAATGTTTAAAGGCAATGTGAAATAGGCACAATGACATAATTTTCGCTAAAGCCACATAGATCCAGGACTAATGATTTTAAATTGTCAGTTTCCCCAAACATCTCTATAATGACTACATCCAAGAGATCTTACAAATTTTTTTTTTTAATGGCCAATACTCACATGAAAATGTTCAAACTCCCAAAGTAGTCCATAAAACTGGATATCATTTTCACCTATCCTCCTGGATTTATTTCTAATAGCAAAAAATATATACTATCTAAATATCCACCAAAAGGAACTAGTTACATAGAATGTGGACCTACATGGTCTACACAGCTATGAAAAATAATGAAGAAAAACAACATGAATCAAGATGAAAAGAAACAGAAACTTCCTCTGGACAATGGGGGCGTTAGTTGGTTTTAATGTTATCCCTTTACGTTGCTCAAATTCAGGGTTATTTTTGATTAAGTAAATATGTGGTTCTTTCAATTCAAATAGTAAATACTTCATAAAAATAAATCCTATTGATGTCGTTGCTCAAAGTCACCTACTACAATTTTTTGATTCCCTCAAGTTGAATTATCATCTCTGTGAGCTCAAGAATTTTCTTTGTATCTTTATCCTATAACTCAATGAGAAATTCCACTTTATATTTGCATACAGTGAGTTAAAAGCCTACACTACAGAAAGAACGCCTGGGTTTGAATTCTGGTCGATCCATTTAGTAGTTCAATGACCATTAAATGTTATTTAACTTCTTTGTGCCTGTTTTTCATCTGTGAAAAAAGAAATTAGTATCCAAGTCATATGACTGTGGATTCAATGAGTTAATATATGGAAAGCTCTTAAGAGTAGGCCCCTGGCCTCTATTTAGTACTCAATGTTAGCTAATGAGTGTAAACAATATACTACCCATGTTTATATCCCCGTGCTCCCAGCCATGACTTGCACACAGCAAATATTAATAAATGTTCACTGAACTAAAGCGACTTGCTACCAGGGAATTCAAAGAGGGGTGAGGATGACAAAAACAAGTCCTAAGCAAGTTAAATCTACAGCCCACTCTTCAGCACTGTAACCCTTGAGCCTGGGAGGTAGAAAAATAATTGACAGATTAGGTAAAAGAGAAAAAGTACAAGAATTAATGAGTGGGAAAGGCAAAAAATATTCTGGGCCATGATGAATTTTTCCAGTAATCCCTACTCTTTCTTCTATTTGCTGCTGTGTTAGCACCGGAAGCTTCTTAACTGTTTCCATGGTTTTCTTGGGTCCTTCCTGGAAAGGCTTTCTTATTAAACTTAACAGTTTCTACGATTCAAAGAGGGCAGACCACCCTCCATGCTAGTTTTTCTCTATGAACCTCTTCATAGGGAAACTATGAGAAAAGGTCAAATGGCTACACCAGTTTGGCCCTTGCTTCTTCACTCTTCACATCTTAGATATGGTTATTCTCCCTCAAATCCAGTGGCTCTTTGTACTTACCTTACTTTGCCTTGACCTAGTCTATTTAAATAATCACATTACCTTCAGTGCCTTTAAGAGGTTAGGCATGAAAATCAGCATGCTATTCCTGTATCACAGGGAAACCTCAGCTCCATGACTTAACCATGTATTGTAACATCAAGTAAATTGCTTGACCCTTCTGCTTTATTAATAGTGCAATTAAACAGGTCAAGTTTATAAAATTCTGGGTGTGGCGCCCAGAACTACACTCAATAAATGGCAGATACATTGATAGGCAAAGGTGACTTTGGGAATGAGATTTAACTTAGGCCCTCCAGCTGACTTCCCAGCACATCGGCCCTGTATTAGCGAGCCTGTAACCTTGTGATGTGTGCTCTGAAAAGTGCAGGGCAGCCAGGCTTATTCACAGTGAGAGAAGGGCCTTGCAAGGCATGTTGGAAGATGCCAAAGCATTATCTTGTGACAGACCATTCCAACCCAAATATTTCACACACACACAAAACCCATTACAATATTTCTAAAGGCACTATTAAAATTCCCATGTGACAAAAACTACTATTTGACATTAACTTGGGCTTATATTATCACAAAACAGTTAACCTATATTTGTAATAATGTAAATGACCTTGTACCAACTACAGGATAAAAACCCACACTCATAAATAAAAAATCAAGATGCTGTTAGGAAAAACAATTAGCCAAGAATCTAATAAACACTGTAAAACCTTGCTGAAGGAATAAAATACCCAGTAAATGCATATACCATGCTGTATGTATTGGTGTATTGTCAATTCTCACCAGATCATAACATATTTTACTTGTATATACCCAATCAAAATCCCAATAGGATTTTAATAAAAATCAAACTTGACAAAATAGGTACTAAAGTTCTCTTAGAGCAAGTGTCCTAGAATAGTCACCCCCCCACACACACACATAAAAAACAAAAGAAAATAAGATAGGGTGGCTTTCCCCATCAGGTATCTAAATAAAGCATCAGCTACAATAAGTAAAGCAGTAGGTAAATAAGTAGTAGGTACTGGTGCAGGAATCCTAAATGCTTGCAAAGTATCAGAGGCTTATGCTACCCAAATGCTTTAAAGTGGATTGTATTATTAATACAACCACCCATCTTTATTATCCCCCTTTCAGATGATGAAGCTGAGGTCTAGAAAAGGTAAATAACTTGTCCAAGATCATACAGGATCAAGACAGGGGTCTGAAACCAGCTGATTCCAGAAGTCCACCTTATCTCACAAGAAAACTATTAATAGCCATTATCTACAGAGATCCTACAAATCATTAAGAAAAAACTCCTGAATAACTTGGGTATAAAAATGGATAAAGGATATTAAAATGCAATTACATTAACATGCAAGTGGATAATATATATGAAAATCTTCAACCTCACAAGTATTTATTAAGATTGATAATATTGAGGGTTAGAGATTGCTGGGAAATGCGTACCTCATCTACACTGTATAAGTGTATACTTATATAGCATTTTTAGAAGGCAATCTGACACTAAAGCAATTAGTATGCCTTTCAGCAATTCCGCTTCCAGAATCAATCCCAAAGAAACATTAAATAGGAGCACAAAGAATCATGGACAAGTATCTTCACTGCAGCTTTTTCTAGAACACTGAAATACTGGAAAGAACCTAACTGCCCATCAACAGGTACTAGCTGGAACAAATAGCATATACCCATGCTATGGGGCAGTACGTAAGGAAGAAATCTGCATGGACTGACACAGAAAGATGTCGATGACATATCATAAAAGGGGGAAAAAAGCAAGTCACAGAACACATAGATTTTTCACCCACTTGTTTTAAAAAAGGGATCTAGAAGAAAATAGGAGAATGAAACTTTGTACACATGTTGAAAGTGCCTTTTTTAGAAGAGTCTGAAAGGATATACACCAAACCATTAAGAGTGAATACTCTGGGGAAAAAAGTGATAGTAGGGCCTAGAAGTTGAAGGGGACCTTTACTTTTTACTCAAACTAACTTTCTTGTGTTGTCTTTAGTTTAAAAAAAAAATGCTATATGTATATACCAGTGAAAACACTAAAAACCCGACCAAAGAGAATAAAAGAGCAATAATTAGAAAATTACATATTGAGAACAATTACATCTATAAAGATTCAAAGAAACTGACACAATAAATTTTATTGTTTCCTTAATGATATAGCCTCTAGACAAAGTGAAGACAATGGAGACAATGACAACACATTTAAACTCCTATCACAAATTGATCTGTTACAAATTTCCAGTGGTTCAACATATTAAAATGTAAAATATATAAAGAAAAAAACCAAGAAATATAAATATTCAGATTTTTGCGGCACAATGCAATGTCCTTTTAAAAAAGTTTGTTGTACCTGTGTATTTAATTCTGACAGTAATTCAAAACACAAAATTACATGTTTTCTTGTCCTTCCCCAAAATGTCGATCTGGGGGCTGCAGTATTAGAGAAGTGTGCAAAAATAAAAACTTTTAGCGCTCAGAAACAAAGCATTTTTCTTATTTGAATGCATCAAGAAGAAACAAAGCATTTTTCTTATTTGAATGCATCAAGGCGCAAAAATCTCAATTTCAAAAAGCCAGTCATTGCTATAGGAGGGTAAATAAAACAGATTTGACACCACTTTTATAATCAAATCCAACTGACATTATACTAAAAATATGTGTGTATATGTGTCTATATATATCTATCTAGATATATATAGACACATATATATGTAATACCTATTTTAGAAAAAAAAAGTGCCTTGGTGAAATGCTTCTGAAAATATTCACTTGATGCACATTATGTACAAAACCTTCTATATAAAAATTAAACTATTTTCAATGAAATTCAATGTTCACATTCCATCTGAAAGCTACTTGAAAGATAAATAGGTCTACCTAATGGTTTCTGTCTGAAATCATGGCTAAGGCAGTTCTCTTTCCAAGGGCTCTTTCTCACCCGCTCTATGTCACTAATACTAATATAGACAAATATTACACAGATGTCACCTGACACACCTATGTGTTATACCTGGAGCTCTGTTCACTGTTAAAACAGGGGGATAGTTTATAGTTGCTACAAAGAATACTTTTTTCCTTAAAATATAGTTTTTCTATTCCAAATTAAGCACTTACTTAAGACACTAAGAGGCTGATAAGCCACTCCATTTGGTGTCAGTATCAATAGCCCTATAAGAAAGAACTCCTGTATTGGAATAGCTAGAAAAGTTTCCACTAAAGTCATACATAGTGCATCCTTCACCTGCATAGAATCAATTTGGCTTAATAGCTCTTTACCCCAGAAGACCAGTCTGGAGTTCAAATATGCTCTTGAAGGTACATCTCAGATACGAAAAAACATCTCCTATGGGTAATGAGGACATAAAGGATAATAAAAGTTGTTAAAATCTGATCGAGTTTTACAGCATTCCTCATTTAGGTAGCTGCTAAAGGTCAAGGTGGGGAACAAAAATGGGAAAGACTAGGGGCAGTGAAGTTGGGTAGGTCAAATATTTACACCAGTAACCATTTCACTAAGTCTTTAAGCAAGTTAACTGCAATGACCTGGTATCTCTAGCTCACTGTTCTACAAGCACTGAGGATCTGAAGCTTAAAAGGTGAAAAATGGAATACCCTTAGAAAAGGGGAACAGTCTGAGGCAAAAGTTGTAGGTCTGTAAATATATATTTTATATGCACACACAATTGTGTGTAGTATTCTGTATATATTTACACACATATTCACAAGATGCCCTGCAGTGGAGTTCAAAAGGCCTTTACCAGGAAGTCAGCTAATTCGGGTACAGGCCCTCGAGTTCACACCATCTGTATAAGAAACACATGTGCATATATTCACACAATGTAAACTGTATCAACAAAAACATTGCTATTAACACTTGGTTAAATAGTAGGTTTTACCAACCAGCGATGTAATCAGAACATTTCTTACACTGAGAATCGAAATAACGAAAAATATACAACTGGGTTTCAAATTCACACAAGAAAAGATGTTTAGCATGGCAAATAAGAACACAGTTCAAATTCCAGAGTAGGGAAAAATATCAAAACTTTAGAAATCTCCTGGGATGCAATTTACTGACTGCATCAAGTTTAGAAAAATAGACTCATAAAATGAACGCTGCTGCTCTAGATTCTCTCAACACATCCACCCATATGTTTATCTTTTTCCTCTTTTGTTTCCAGCTGGAGGTTTCTTCAGCTGAAGGAGTTGTCCTCCTGTTCCAAAGCCTGCAGAGGCAGGATTGGACACCCCAAATGTCAAACCAGCTGATGCCGTGATGCCAGGGTTGCTGAAGTTAAACCCAGATGTACTTGAGCTGCCAAAGCCTTATGTTTAGGGAAGAGAACATTCACATCAGAAGTTAAGTCACAAAAATCAATATAAAAAAAAAAAATGGGGATGAAAGGTACATTTCTAGCTGCAAGAATACATACTCGGTAAAAACAGTAAATATCTTATGGCCCTGAATTTCTAACATGCAATTTTACAGGAAAATAATTTCGCAAATAGCTAAGTGGCACCTTTACAGACAGAGGTTTAGTGATTCGGGCCCAAAGAGAAACCTTAGCACAAATAACTGAAATCTTCAGAAGACTTCAAATTGCCAGACACTTTCCTGTTAATTCAATATGCCAAGGTGCCTTCCTCCTCAGGCCTTCCAGAAACATGTTATCAACATGTAGAAGTCCTCCAAGAAAACCCCAACCCACAATTTTCAGGACAATGAGCACACCGAAGAGTAGTACCTATTGTTTTGATTTTATAAGAACCCTTGTGTAATTAGGATCAAGTACTATTACTGTCTGGTTAACTAATATTAACATATTGATATTATAATCCTGATACCACTGAATTCTACTATCCTACTCTGTTGGAACTGTTAATTTTAAACACTACTTAATATTACATGGAATTTTCTTCAAATTCCTTCAATTTAAACACAATTTAATTGGTACTGTGTCATTGTTTTAGACATGCCTTTTATCCCTAAACACTGCACATTAAAACAAGCCATTATTACAAATATAGAGAAAATGCAAAAGTAGGTGGAATTTGGAATTTTCTACTGGAAGAGTCAGAAGATGATACCTATTTCAAGAATGAACAAAGAACCCAATTAATCATCATTTGTAAGTTGGGACTTATAACTAAAGCACATCTCTTTGGAGAACTCATTCTCCTGAATGCATAAGGATAAAAACTGGGTAAAAACTTAACAATGGGTTCATTTTCGTAATAATGAAGGAAGTTGTTCAACCATGAAACTGGTCTTTTGGTTCCAAAGGAATCTCTGGTTAGTTAAGAGATGATATAATTAATATATCAAACAAATAAGTCTTGTTAGAAATATGTTATAAACCTGTCCTTGTTTTTTGAGAGATAAAGCTATATGATTAGGCTTGCATGCTTCATCCAGGGCATAGAAAACTAAGTCAGGGATCTTTTTTGGGTCTTGGAAATAACAAAACTTATACTTTTAAATTAAATACTTTGCACCTTTCGATTTGTCTGAAATTTAGGCTAAAACACACAAACCTGCACTAAGACTTCCTGAGGGTTTATTTGTTGTTCCAAATCCAAATGTGGAGGCCCCTGTGGTGCTGCATCCAAAACCAGAGCTAGTTCCAAATCCTAGTGGAGGGTGATAGAGAAATATACAATGGCACGTAAAACACGGGTTAAAGGATACTGACAAGTAACACCTAGAGTTATCAAAGTTCTAATAACACAGTGCTGAAAAACATGGCCTTAGGAAGGAAATCCTTGGCTTCTGGAAGAACCAGATTAATTTTGAAATAAAACATTTATATGTATTTAGACAATGTTTATAACCCATCAGTAATTCTTAAAACAAGGCCATAAAACACAAGACCATTTTCATATTCTCTCTCCCAAAAGAACTAGAAGTTTTAGTGACTATTCAAGCATGGTTTTAGTCAAACAGATATAAACCTATCTACTTAGGGATATTTCATTTGCAAAAACAAAAACAAAAAAAGCAAAACAAAACAAAAAAAATCCCTGATTACATCCATAAATAAGTAGCACATGCACAATTTAAACACGAAGTACAAGGTGATTTTACTCTGCTTTTTACCCAAACATTTTCACTTAAAAACCTTTACCATTGAAAACCTGAAAAATTACATAATAGTCAGTCACTTTAAATTAAGTCAGTCAGCTCCTGTGACAGTATCAGCCAGTGCAGCAAAGAGAAATTGCGAGTGAGAGCATCATGTTTTTTCTCTTAATATTATAGTCACCATTTAAATAAATATTTTTCATCATATAAAGTTCAAGAGGAGATTCTGCTAAGTACTTGAAGAATTGTTTCCACTATCTTAAATGTCAAGTGCTCTAAAAATGAATTTAAATTCTTCTTAGGCTGCTTTACAACCACTTACCTAAATGAGTTGATAGTATTATTGCCTCTAAGAAATATGATGGCAAATTGGATTATAGATCACAAGAATTATGCTTGTCTGTCATAATTCTAGTAATTTCTAATAAAGTCTACTATATCAAGGAACCATAATAGCTTATAGGCTTCCCGTTTTATAATGATATATTTTAGTGGAAATAAGGGAACCTTATTCATTATATGACAATGTTACTTGTCAAAACACAATCAACTTTCAATTATTCAGACCAGACAACTATGAATGCATTTGTATTTAGCATGATGTTTTTGCAGATTTACCTTACTAATTAACTTATGAAATATTAAAATAAACTTAATTAAGTATGCAAGTATGCATATAGGCAAACATGCCAAAAGTGCTTAGGAATGGACAGAAGTCGAGCTGTGCAACTTATAATAAAACTACTTCCCCATTTAAAGTGTTCGTTTTCAGAAAAAGATGATGATTAGGAAAATGTATATCAAGAAGTAGTTTGGACTCCAAACTGATGTTAAGACTAATACTTTTTTAAAGTTCGTTAAATTTATTAAAACGAAGTTATCTTCAAGTTTCTATTTTAGCATATTACTTTGAATATATGAACACCCCTACCATTTAATTGTAATACTTTTTAATATTTACTGTTCACAGACGAAATTATTTTTTTAGGTTCTAAATCTAATACTAGAAAGCACTGATTATGTTTGGAGAATCCTTTTTGCCGGATGGAACCTTCACTTCCAAATTAGTAGATCCTCTTAAAAAATTTTTACAGGCTAGTATCAATTCAAATGCAATATTAGAAAAGTGAAAGTGTACCTCCAAGGTTTGAAGAACCTAAGCCACTTGATTGCAAGCCAGTGCCAATACCTGAGCCGAATGGTGTTCCAAAACTAACTCCCAGAGATGGCTGTGGCCCTGGTATAAAAAAAAAAAAAAAAAAAAAAAAAAAGGAAGGGGGAAAAAACAAATTTGCCTTACTCTTTCAAGTTTAAAGTTTATGAAGTTATTTTTCAAATGAACAGTGATTACTTTTAACAAATTGTATTAGCTAAAACTTAGTTTTCAGGATGTCTCCCCAGCCTAATTTATCTGTCCCAATTTATTCACATTAGACAATTAAAAGAGGCTTACTGCATTCAAAGATGAATGTTAGTTTAACCTGCTAAATAATTTGAAATCTTTAATGTATTGTAAATTATAGTTCTTTTAGTTTTACTTCTAGAATGATTTTGGATCTCCCCACTTGTTTTCTGGTAAAATTAGTTGGTGTAATCAGTAAAGGTTTTTACTTTTTTTTCTTTTTAAAAAACAAACTCCTTAGTGTTAGAGTCAAGTCTCAATTGATCAAAAGAGACTGACACTAACGTGGCAAAACTATCATGTTACTTCATAAGAGTAAGTACCCAAAAAACTAGGCATGATTTCTTATATGAAATATAAATGATATATATACAATAAGTAGATAAAAAACAAGACAATGTTTTATTTTATTAAATTTATTGTTCATTTTAAAGCAAATCAATTACACAGTAACATGACAATTCCAACTTGTTCACAAAAAGTGATAATTGAGTTCTATTGTTAAGCTCTGCTACATTACACCACTTCTCACCTGATTAAATAAGATAGATAATGAACATTTACAAAGGCACCGCTGTGTACCTTGACAGATTCAATACATTCAAGATTTCAATTCAGAAGTTTTTCTTTCTAACATTTTGGAAAATGTACTCAGATGCAGAACCATTCATTAGTCATCCCTTTTCCCATTTGTTACTTGAAAGATTTTTGCTGAGTTTGTTTGGCAAGTATAGCATCAAACTTACTAGCCTCTCTTTTTCACTACATTTTTTTTAAAACTAAGCAGACTACAAAAATCTAAAAATCTCTCATTTCATAAATAATTTATGAAAATTATTCAATAAATTTCATAGTACAATCTTCAGTCTTGCCTTTTTCAAGCACAGTGATCAGTGCATCTCAAAGTTGAGGGAACTGCCAAAGTAATATACAGATTGAAATTTTAAAATTTTCAAAGAAATCAAAGCCTTCAAGTTGTTCAATGAAGAATGAGGTTTGTATATTCAAAAGGTAGTGGAAAATTATAAAGCATTAAAAAAAAAACAAAAAAAAAAAACTAAAGAACTATATTTTGCAACACTGGGACAAAAACTGGACTTTTCAAATAGCTTCTACCCAGAAAATAAAGAATTGGAACTAATAGCAGCCAGAGTTGTTATACTACTATTAAAAAATAAATTAACATAGGATTTAAATTTTTACATCCATTTTGAGATCAGTTTGAGAATAAAATACCTGCCTAGAATCTCTTTTGTAAAAATGTTACTATAGAAAAAAAAAAAACCAAAAAACTAAGCATATTACTCTCTTAGTTCTAACAAAAATAATATGTAGAAAACACACATCCAGTTTCGTTAACATTGAGAGACTTAGCTGTCACATGTTAATAGGAGGCACTGCTGGTGGAAGACCCCAAAGAATAATGCACACCACAGCCCTCAGCCCTACAAGTCATAAGAGTTACTCAAATAACATGCTTTTTGTTGTGTGTGGGTCTGTTTTGAAGAGCAACTCTAATCATCGATATTGAGGATATAGGTAATCAAGAACTCTAACGATGACAAGACTTTCCATTGCACAACAGGTACATGATATTTTGAGTTTTGTACCTTCACACAAATTCTGAAGGCAACATCATTTATAAAACTAGTAGGCAAATGTATAACATTTTTTAATAGTAAAAACTCATGATAAATATCTCCCACGCCAAAGTATTAGCATATATTACACTCTGGCCACCATATAAATTAGTTTCACTATTAGAAAGCAGAATCTAAATCCTTCAGGCAAAAGTTACGTAAACAATTCAAGAAGTCTGTTTCGAAATCTGAATAGTCATTCAATGAGAGGCTCTTAGTACCATAAATAAAACCAAGTTAGTGGTAATATATCCCAATGATTGCCCAAAGTGAAATCTTCATGTAGAGTAACATTTTACAAAGGTTACTGTATAATATATTCACACACAACAAAATCCAGTTTAATACTGATATTCATATTTTTCCAGAATAAATTCTACTTTTTTAAAAGTAAAATTGCATTCACAGGAAGAGGACTAAAGTGCTAAAATTTTTTATAATTTTCAATGATTACTCAAAATACCTAATGTAATTAGTCTGGTTATGCCTAAATCATAGTTTAAAATAATAACATTTCTTAAAAAACAGAAAATGCCTTTTCCCCAATTTGAAAAAATTTTACTTACTAATTTAATGGGGAATGTTCCTTTGGTTATTAAATACAACAAAATCACAAAACCACAAGAAACTAAAATGAAATACTTAAAGTTTCCTACTTAACACTACACCTTAAATGTCTTAACCTACACAAAAAGCTAGAAAGTAGTAATTCCTAACAAAACATCTCAGCTCTCCTGAAAAACAGCAGCTAAGTCACATAAGAAAAGTCTTATTATGTAAACATCATACTTTTAAAAGTGTCAAATACAACAGCAAAACTCAATCCCAGTACATTAGCTTAAAACAATCTATCCTACGTTAAAATCATACTAGAAAACCTAATGTAAATCTTCAGCTTTTTAAGAGGCTTCAGAAGCACTGGTGGGTGGACAAGTGTTCTCAAGCTCTAGCAACATGGAATTTACCCATTACTGATGCTCATTTCATACATAAATAGCCTGCTGGTTTTTCATCAATTCTCTTCAGCCTTCAGAAGCAATAACCATACATCACACAGGTCTAAGCTCTATTATATATTTTCATTAAAAATCATAGAATGATTGAGAAGCCACTTAAGTGCAAACCTCCACCTCTAAGAAACACCACAAGAAACCACCTGCAGAAGGTAGTAGCCTAAGAAGCAATCTGCTTTTTCACATTAATGAAATCAAGAATCCATATGCAAATAAAAGCAAAAGCCCTCTGACAACTCAAGTCTTGCACAGATCAACAGTGATATATAAAAGCAACACACAAGTTTTACCTAGCTTCATCTAGACGGTCTTTAAAAATCTGTTACTGGTATTTTAAAAAAGATATCAAAATCACAGGACATAGGGAATAAGTCAGTGTACGATGCAATATATAGGGACATTTCTAAACAGGCCATAACTCATAAATCAGTACACATCTAACAGACTTCATACATCTTGTTACAGTGGTGACATGACTAAAATAACTAACATTCTAATAGGGAGAAGCACAAAAGAACGAAATATGAAGCTGGGAAACCTTTAGAGAAACAAAAGGAAAAAGACAATGCAAAATGTTATGATTATTTAGCATCTCAGTTCTAAAAATTAATACAACTTAAAATGAAAACACTGTAAGGGGCCGGCCAAGTGGCGCATTGGTTAAGAGCTGGCTTGGGACGCCAGAGGGCCCCGGTTCGGATCCCATATATGAGGGCCAGTGACACTGCCCTCCACAGCTAAGATGCTGAACAACAGAGCTCAACCTGGAGCTGGGCTGCTGTGAGTTGCCCGTGGGCTGCAGCAGGGGCTACCACGGGCTTGCCATGGGCTACTGTGTGTAGCCAGCAGCCAGCAGCCAGCAGCCGCAGTGAGCGGCCGTCCAGAAGCCGGCGACTGATCTGCCTCGCCCGGGAAGAGCGCAATGAACGGTGCCAACTCGGGCCAGTGAGGCGGCATCCTCCACAACTAGACTGAAGAACAAAACAACAGCAACTTATCTGTTCCCCTTTCCCCAATTCCCCAATAAAAAATCTTTAATAAAAAAGAAAGAAAACACTGTAAGACTATTCAGATTGATAAATTACAATTCCTGCCACCAGATTAGAAAAACCTTATGTGGGTTTCTAAACTGTAAGGAACAGGAAAGCAGTTTCCCCAAAGCCTGGCAAAAGTCACAATTAAAACTGAATCACATGAGCAAAAGGCTCCTCAACATGATCACTCTAAATTAAGCTACATTCTCCACCACAAGACAGCAAAGACCATGTCTATATTGTTTACCTTTATATCCCCAGAACCCAGCACATAGTAGGCACTCCTATTCATAGAATGAACATATGTCTTCATATGTTCATGAGCCCAAAATATATGAGTGAAAACCTACAAATTTCTCAAGACTGTCTATATGCTAAAAAAATAAAAAAATAAAAAATCCTGTGATTTTGCTTCAATTTTAGTTGCACAACACAGAATATAATTCACTTACAACATAACATGTTAGATTACTGACTTTTCTCAGTTTTCATTTATTAGAATGGAAATCCCTATGTGCAAAGAACACTTAACCAAACCCATGCTTATCTGATGTATTTTAGGCCCTAAAAAGTAAACTGGTGCTATGGTTGGTTTGATTAATTGGTTAAATAATCATGAGAACTGAGGATCATAATTATGGGATTGGTAGGAATCAAAAACCCCATAATGACTTTTATCCTCCATAACTTGAGAACAAAATCCTACGCTCCAGCCAGCTAGAGAACTACAATACAGTCATGTGAGCCACTATTCAACATGGGTCCAGCCATGGAATGTGGAGTTTGGCATAAATCCATCACTAGCTGTTTACTGATGGGAAATCAATTCTGTCACCTCCAAATGTGAAGAACAATTTTTTAAACTGCCAGTAGTGAGAACCAGAGAATGTTTCCCTGTGGAGGCAGCCTGAATGCAATCTAAATATGTCTTTGTACTATAATTTACTACTGGACTCTATGGAACTCTCAGAAAGACACATGCAGTAGAATAATAAGCATTACCTGAAAATTTATGAATGAGTAAAAAGGAAAAAAATCAATATCCATTAAGACTATATTTTCCCAAGTCAATCTATGAGCCTGACCAAAAAAAAGGAACTGTAGGCGTAAAAAGACAAGTAGTAATCTCTGAAAGACACAGGATCAAATTAAACACTGCAGAACTGACCACAAAAACGTTTCATTAGAACTGGAATTAAACCAAGGACTAAAATTATCTGCTTTCCAGTGTCTCACCAATTATTTTCATCTGCTCAGCTTTCCACTTCATAGTTCTTAATGTGCAACCCAGAGCATCTCAAAACATCTTTTTCCTGCTCTTACAACTGTTCTGTTCATTTTGAAAAGGTACAAATAATTCTAGCATGTACCTTCTTCCAAATTTGGTTATGAGGGCCTGTACTCTTTCTAGTCCTTAGACACACAAAATTACTGATCTTCTACAAACCTTGAGTCAATAAAAACATACTTCACCCTGAATGTGGGTGTTCTGTACGCACTGTGTATGAGGAAACAAGAATGCACCATCTATCAGTATCATATATGAGAAATGTAATCTATGGCTGGATTCTCTGACTTTAAAACAATAAATGATACAATCATGATTTTAGAATCTGTTATTCTTAAAAGTAACTCAGTAGTGAAACACCACGTTCTAACGGGTATTTATAGTAATACAGGAAGTAACACTAAGTAAATTCACAATATTCAATATCTCATTGAAGTATAATTATTGCTAAGACTAACCTGCGTTTTTTATCAGGTATATGTTTATAATTGTGTCCATCACAATTTTTAGACTGTATTGGAACAGCTATTCATAGAAATTTCTTCAGTGCTAACACAAAGGGGAGACTTATAAAAATGCACACAAATTTCTGCATTTTAACAGTAAGAAGCTATAACTTGAATGCATTCAGACCTGTAGCAGGCTGTTGCTGCTGTGTAAGTGTTGCAGCCATGGCAACGGCTGCTGCGTTTGGCATGTTGCTGAAAGGGGTGGGGCCAGTAGTAACTCTGGGTGCATTCTGCCACTTCTTGGCTTCTGCTCGCCTGGCTTCAAACACATCTACAGCATCTCCCAAGAACATTTTCCTGTAACCAAGGTACTGTTCTTTGAGCACCTGAAAGAATGAAAAAAAGAAAAGGTTAATCAAGTTCTGTGTTGACTGTGGTAATATGTAAATGTATGTAACTATGAAATAAGTTAGCAAAGACAAATCAAAGATATTGCCAGTACTAAGCATTCCACCTAAATTGCAAATTAGAGTGCTAGTAATGCATGGTGTGGGAAGGGATGAGTTTGAGACTTCTATCACTCCTTTGAATATTTTCTTTCCTATTTTTGTCATGTCTTTACAATAAACTGCCTAAAATATTCTGGCTTCGTGAGGCCCTCTTTATAATGTTACCTAAGTTTTAAGACAAGCAGAGCAGTATCTAAAATTTCACTTTAAATATTCAGTTTTTTCATGAAATTTTCCCTTACCATGACCAACCTTTTGATAAATTTTTAGATTCAAAAATTTAAAAATAAAAAGCACTAAATATACAAGGTATAATAAAAAAATACGGTGAATGTTTAAATTAAAAAAAAGTATCACAGTAAAAGACACATTGCCATTAATCCCCTGTAAAATACTTCCTTCTCGCTTCAAGCACACTTATTCCATCATTCTTGCCACTTTCTGAAGTATGACGCAGTTCTGGAAGTCTGTTTTCGTGATGTGTCTTTAGTTGCGCTGTTGTGGCTGCCTCGACATCCTGAATCGATTCAAAACGTTTACCTTTCATGGTCATTTTGACTTTGGGAAAGAGCCAGTAGTCGCACAGTGCCAGATCCGGTGAATAAGGTGGATGAGGACACACCGTAATGTTTTTATTTGACAGAAATGCCATACCAGAAGCGATGTGTGACATGGAGCCTTTCTGTTATGATCACAAAATACGGTAAATGCTGCTGCCAAGTGCCATCCAAAGGCAGGGATCTTAAATACGGGAAGCAGCATGTCGAATTTTAGTAACAGTGTGTGACAAGTTTCAACTTGTTCAGTGCAGTTAGTTGGGTGTGAGCTACAGTTGAGAAAACGTGTGTTTTAAAGTGTGCCACAAATCATCCTCCATCATGACATTGCTCTGTGTCACACATCGCTTCGGGTATATGACAATTTCTGTCAAATAAAAATATCATGGTGTGTCCTCATCCACCTTATTCACTGGATCTGGCACCATGCGACGTCTGGCTCTTCCCAAAAGTCAAAATGACCATGAAAGGTAAATGTTTTTAATCGATTCAGCACATGGAGGCAGCCATGGCAGTGCTGCTCAAGACATTCACAAAAGAGGACTTCCAGAACTGCTTCATGCTTCAGAAAGTGGCAAGAATGACGGGATAAGTGTGCTTGAAGCAATGGGGAGTACTTTGAGGGGGATTAATAGCAATGTGTCTTTTACTGTAATAAATTCTTTTTATTATAAACATCCACCATATTGTTTGATCACACCTCGTGTATCTGTTACATAACTTTTTTAAAAGACCTGGGTGACACATGTAAAAATAAGATGTTGCCTTGGCACAGAGAGCTTGATGGTATAAAGAGGGCCTTTATCAATATTGTTTGACTATTTTATAATACGAATGACTCATGTTGAGCTTGTAAACAAAGAAGAAAAAACGTACGTTTGTAATTTCAAAGAAAGAAAGAAAAATTACCAAGTTCATAAAATGGACTGGTTTAACCCAATGCAACATCTGCCTTGATTAAGACCATTAATAAGGATGACTCTTTTCACAAAAAAAGGTAGTTTTCAAACCCGAGAGAAGACCGTGCTATTGAAAAAGCATGTATATGTGCAAACGACAAATCTGGGATTTGCTTTAAAATACTCCAGGGAATAAAGCATCTGTGTGTGGAGAACTGATAAAATAAGATCAGCAGGACCTTTAGAATGGTTGAAGTTGGGTAGTGGGTATCTGGGAATTCATTCATTATAGCAATGCTCTACTTTTGTGTATATTTGAAATATTCCATTATAAAAATTAAGGGAAAAAAATACACCTGAATAACACAGACTTCAAAGTGCCAACAACATAAATCATCTTTAGCACCTTTATAAAACTCAAGTAATATTCTAGACACAAAGTTTTTAAGAAAATTTAATAAAAATTCCTCCTTTACAACTAAAGATTTGGTTTAGAAATTTTAATTTATTAAAGCAAAAGGTCTAAAGTGTGCTATTATTTCAAAAATGGTATAATTTAAGTGGTTAACTTTTTAAAAATTTTTGATACCATGCATCGGATTAAAATAAAAATAAAAATATTTGGTAATCTCAAGTAAACTCAGAGATTAGATTCAGATTTGGATACTTTACATTTTAAAGATTTTTTTTTGAACTTCAAGAAATAATTATATTTGCATGATTAGTTGGAAAAGTGCACTTATATTTCACTTAAATTTTAAAAACATTACAAGATTCAAAATATTCAGAACCAAATTATTTTATGTATAATATTTCATAAACACAAAACAGTTCCCTGTACTTAGAAGGGACAAATGTAAGTACGTTAATAATGCAATGGATAATAAACATTTAAAACATACACAAAATTAAAGCAGTGAAAAATAATTTTGCTACTAAGAATGTTCATATTCTGTTGTGCTGTTTATAGTGGTAAAGAGATGGAAACAAAGTAAATGTCCAACAAAAGAGGATAGATTAAACAAACTGCACACACACCCAATGAAATCCTATTTAATCCTAAAAGGATGTAGAAGAAATATGTATATAAACATGGAAAGTTGTTCACAATGTACTATTACTTGGATCTTTTAAAAAAGAACAGATATTATCCATAGTTATGTCTGAGCATGATTACCAATTATTTTAGTTTTAGTCTTTTTCACTTATAGGTAATTATAGCTATTTCTGTAATAAGCATGAAAATTTATGACCCATAAATAAACAAATAATTCACTTGGGTCTAGATATCCAGATAGATGAACTGGTAATAAAAAGTTACCTTGACATTTTCATGAATAGACTGAAGTTGTGCAGCTAAAGCTACAAATGTTTGATAAATTTTCTGCATAGCCATTGACAGATCTATAAAAGAAAATTATATTATCACACAAATACATATATTAACACAATCAGTATTATTTTTCTATTATATGAGTCCAATTTTTGGAACAGTTAATGTGCAGCAGGAAAAAACTACATCAGTATTTCCGTGGATAAGAGAAGGTAGTAGTGAGTAGACTGAGAGGACATCTTAATCAGGAATCGGGGTGGGGCAAGAGGAGGCACAAGGCTTCTGCCCTCGTTAGCATAGTAACAATTCATAATAAAGCATTTTAGATTTAAAGGGAATAAAGATCTAAACAAGAACTTTTGAGGAAATTTTCTCATGGAAGTTTAAGACAATTACTAGTAGTTATCTAGAATATCTACTATATTAACAACAGCTTAACCACTTGTTTACCAAAAAACAAAAAAAAAATACTGCTATAAAAAAAAAATTACCATAGAAAGCATGTTACCTTGAGGAGTTATATGTGAGTTGTTTGCCTGAGTGGCAAGATGGTTTTCTAGCTCTTCAATCTGCTGTCTGTACTGCTGAAGCTGTACCTCAAACTGCTGAACCAAGATTCTGAAGTAGCTGTATAAAAACACATACAAAGTTAGAGCAAAGTTTTAAAAGCATTGTTTTCTTTATATCCAAAATACCAAATAAATAAATATATGCCCCCATTTAAGTAGGGCCTCTGAATTTGCCTGGTGACATAATGTATCTTTAAGTGGTGCAAATATGACTGACACAAAAACCCAAACTTGTAAGTTAGCAAGGTATCAAAAAAAAAAGACGTATATCCTTACTTCAGTCATGAAATATCCCAATTAAGGAATAATCTACAAGTAACTTAATACTCTTCAAAAGCATCAAGTCATCAAAGACAGGAAAGACTGAGTCATTATTACGGACTGGAAGAGATTACGTAGAAACAACAACTAAATGCAATGTGAATAGGACTTTAAGGTAGAAAAAGTACATTAGAAAATAGGCTCCTGGAACAGAAAAAGCACATTAGTGAAAAAGTCAGTAAAATTCAAATAAATTCTGTAGTTTGGTTAATTATTTGTGCCAATGTTTATTTCCTGTTCTTGATAATTATACTATGATTATGCGGTATGTTAACAATAGAGGAAGCAGGGTAAAGGATATAAGGAAATTCTTTGTACTACCATTTTTTCAAGTTTTCTGTAAGTCTGAAAGAAGTTTAAAATAAAAAGGGTTTTAAAAGTGCAATTGTTAGCCAGATTTTTACAACCAAGTACTTACAGTTCTAATATTTAGTCTGAATTTACAATCTAAAATGTCATTTATAATCTGAAAACACTATAATGTATTACAGAAAGAGCATGTAATTACTACTACAATTCTGATAAATTTAACCAGAGAATGCTAGAAAGATAAAAAAGGACCTTGAATAGCATGCAAAACAGTCTATCATTTTATAAGAAATGAGTAACTGTGAGGGCCGGCCGAGTGGCTCAGTTGGATGAGAGCTCGCTCAAGAGTTTGAGCTCTGAGCAACAGCAGTTCGATGCCTGGCCTGAGCTGAGCTGCCGCTGAGCTGCCAACAGGTGGCAGGATGGCTCAGCTTAAAAAAAAAAAAAAGAAGTGAGTAACTGTGAAAGCTTTTTGCAGTAGAAAATGATACATTTCAACCCATTTCAAAACTAGTTGTGATGGCAGCATGAAGAACAAAACAGAGGGATAAAATACTACAGGAAGTCCAGCAAGGAAGCATATCCCATGCTAATCTAAGTAAAATAACAAGAGTATCATTGTCATTTTTAATTTCCTGATTTTGTTCATTGCACTGTGGTTATGAAAAAGAATATCCTTATGTTTAAGAAATACACACTAGGGCCGGCCGAGTGGCTCAGTTAGTTAAGAGCATGAGCTCTGAGCAACAGGGTCGCCGGTTCGATTCCCACATGGGCCAGTGAACTGCGCCTGAACTGAGCTGCCAAAAGGTGGCAGGATGGCTCAGCTGGTGAGAGCACGTGCTCCTAACAGCAAGGTTGCCGGTTTGACTCCTGCATGGGATGGTGGGCTATGCCCACCCGCAACTAAAATTGAACATGGCACCTTGAGCTGAGCTGCTGCGAGCTGCCGACGGGCAGCGAGATGATTCAGTGGTTAGAGCGTGCACTCTTAGCAACAAGTTTTCCAGTCCTAGTCCCACATGGGATGGTGGGCTACACCCATCCGCAACTAAGATTGAATACGGCACCTTCAGCTGAGCAGCTGTGAGCTGCCGACAGGCGGCCAGATGGCAACTGGACTTGGAGCTGAGCTAGCTGCGCCATCCACAACTAAAACTGAAAGACCACTTGGCTGTTCCCCTTCCCCAATAAAAAAAAAAGAAAGAAAGAAATATACACTAAAGTTCTTAAGCATAAAGGGCATCATGCGTGCAAATAACTCAAGCTGTTCAGGGAAAAAATGTGTATATATACACATAGAGAACAAGGAACAAAAATAGTAAAAATGTTAACGTGTAAGGAATCTGGATGAAAGATATATGGGAATTCTTTGTTTTATTCTTAAAACTATTCTACAAGTCTGAAATTATAATACAAAGTTAAAAGAAAAAAAAAAGCGAGAGGCCAGGAGTCAAACAGACCTGTACCACTCACAAGCACAGGACTTCACTGCTTCGTGCCTCAGGCTCCTCACCTCTAAAACAGGAATGGGAACAGCTGTAGAAGCTTTGTGGAAAATGAGATAAAGCATGTAAAGTGCTAAGCGCACTGCTTGGCATGTGGTAAGCATTTGATAAATATTAGCTATTATTATCCCTAGAAACATGAAAGGATAAAAAAAAAAGAGACAAGATATATCACATGTATGGTGACTAGATGGATATACAAAGCTGGGTATGAGATTACAGGTGGATTTTTTTTTTAATTTAATTTTACTTATCTACATTTTCTAATTTTTCTTCCTAAAGATTAACTATGTAAATGAAAGCTATCCAAATAAATAAAATAATTTAAACTGTATTTAGTTTGCACTGTTTAAGAAAAAGACTATCATAAAATTATTTTTAAATTTGAAGTCCTAATGGGTAAAAAATAAATTTCTACTAAAAAAAAAATTGGAACAGGCCCTGTAGATAACACGTAAATGAAGCGTAACAGCGTAATAGTAGTTAAAAGTTCAAAGGTTAGTCTTCACTTACCCTTCAGCCAAGATAGGGATAATAAACTACCCCCTTAAAGGTTATCATGAGAATTGAATTTAATAATCCACGTAAAGTGCTTATTCACCCAGGCTTGCTACGTAGTAAACTGAAAATGTTTAGCCTGTATATTGTTCTGACTGTTCTGCTTTTTTAAAGAAAGAAACATTTGTTTAAAAACTTCCAGCAACTTACTCAGCCGGAGCTGTGTTTTCATGTTGGAATCCAGGTGGTGTTTTCTGGGTTCTTAAAGCTATTTCAGCATTCTTTAACTCCTAATGTATCAGAGGTTAAAAAAACAAAAACAAAAAAGGGCCAGTTAAAAGTTAAGCTAAAAATACCAACTACCTCTGTTTTGAAACTTCAAATGACGCCGTTCATGGAGGTTCACGCTATGACAACATAGTACAAAAGAAGCTGCTTTACAAGTTGCTAAAAAACCTCTTTCCCAAAACAAACTACACTTTTAGCAAACTTTATGATAAATGTATAATGAGCTCCTGATCTATTTTCAGAAACTATGGATTTCTGTAGGACTCATGAAGGTAATTCACCCACAGCAGAAGACTGTCTTACTATTTAAAAACCTTTAATATAAATGTAGGAAACACTATTTTAAAAAGCAAGGTAATAGTAATATTGAGACTGACGTGGCAGCAGTTAACACTCTAGGTACTTCCTACAGACCAACCACTATGCCCAAAGCTTTACTTTTATCACCATGGTTAATCCTCAACAATAACCCTAAAATGTATTAATAGCAATGTTTCCTTTTTTACAGATGAAGAAATGGAGTCAGAGACCTTGCCCAAGGCCATGGAGCTTGAAGACTTGAAAACAGAACCTAAGCAGCCCAACGTTTTTAAAGCTTACACACTCAACTATTTGTAAATCGCCTCCAGCTGTTCCTCAATGCCATTTCTATTTTCTAGTCAACGGTTTTTCCAGACTGATGTTTTAACCTGTTACACTTCACATTCCTATTATTTCTTGGCTTTTTCAACTTCTATTTAAGTTTCCTTCAAAAAAAAAAAAAGGTATTTTACCTTAACTTTATATTCCCTGTAGCAACCTCTTGCCCTCATTTTACACCCAAGCTGTTAGGTCTCAAAGTCTCTAACCATTCTCTCCATCTCCTTTTCCTTCTTCAGCTCAGGCTTCCATCCTTTCAGACTCCAGTAGAAACACCCTAGAGTGGTCTGGACCATTCAGACTCAGACCCCTGCCTACTTCTCTAGGAACTGACTCTTACTCAGTGCTCCACTAATAGTGAACTGCTTGTCGATCCTCAAACATGCCAACTTCCCCCCTCCATGCCTTTGCCTGTTATCCCTCCTTCCTCCCAGCTTGGGGGACAACACCTAGGTGTGTTTCAAGACCCAATTACAAGGATATCCTACTTTGGACAGATGATAACAAGTGCCCACTTGAGCCCTCTGTGCCTCTATCACACCTTGTGCTGGAACATACTACCTGAGTGACTTAACTTACTCTCTCTAGACTATTGTATTTTGATCCCAAATGCCTGTTCAAGTGCTCTGCACGTAAGAAACCCTTAAAAATGCATCCTGAGGGCTGGCCGAGTGGCATGTTGGTTAAGAGCTGGCTTGGGACACCAGAAGGCCCCGGTTTGGATCACACATGAGGGCCAGTGACACTGCTCTCTACAGCTAAGATGCTGAACGGCGGCTCGACCTGGGGCTGGGCTGCTGTGGGTCACTGGTGACGGCGTGGGCTGCAGCCCCTGCTGCAGTGGGTTGCCATGGGCTACCGTGTGGCCAGCAGCCGCTGTGAGCAGCCGTCCAGAAGCCGGAGACTGATCTGCCTCACCCAGGAAGAGCGCAATGATGGTGCCAGCTTGGGCTGGTGAGGCGGCATCCTCCACAACTAGACTGAAGAACAAAAGGACAGCAACTTGTCTGTTCCCCTTCCGCCAGTTCCCCAGCGCTGTTCCCCTCCCCCAATTCCCCAGCAAAAATCTTTAAAAAAAAAAAAATGCATCCTGAATGCATGGACTGGCAATGACTTCAACAAACCATTTGACACCCACCCCACCCAAAAAGAACTTTAATCACCCTCCTTATTTAAACTCTTGAGTTATGTACCAAAAAATGATGTCTATAAAAGGTTTTGCTTAGGGCTGGCTGAGTAGCTCAGTTGGTTAAGCGCTTGCTCAGAGCAACAGCGGTTCAATGCCCGGCCTGCGCTGAGCTGCTGGTGAGCTGCCAACAGGTGGCAGGATGGCTCAACTAAAAATAAACAAAATAAAAAATAAAAAGATTTTGCTTCCGTAAGTTCTACACAATCACAACACTGCGCCTCACCTCAGAATTGCTTATATATATGAGAAAACCCAGAAAGGCTTTCTCAGAAGAAAAGGTTTTGGTTTAAATAAGATTGGTAACTACTTCACTAATGGGAGTCAGAACACTTTTTTTCCAATGGTAATTCACTAGACTGCACTAATTCCTGTGTATTAGAAATAAGAATAATCTTAGTTCAAATTTCCTTTGATCTCGCCTATAAAATTTTCTAACCTCAACTCAGATGATTTTTTTTCCATAAGGAGACGTTCTTTGACTCATTATCCTCTACTTCATTTGCTGCCTTTATATTCCACTCAACCTTTTATTATTTCATTTACCCTACTAGACTTCGGAGTTGTCTTTTTATCTCTAGAAGGCTATGAATAAGTCTGGTATGTCACAGGTATTCCACAAACATTTGTGAATAGAATCACCCAGGGTTAGAGTGACAATGGATCCCATCACAGCATTCATTTCTCTTTTTCTTGAGTTTAACTCTATTACTTTGCTAATTAATTTTCCATATAATTTCATACTTCACATATGAAATTTATCATTTCATGTAATATTTGATGACAGTCTAAACATTCTCCACAGTCTAAAAGCATTATTAAGATTTTCTTCCTCCTAGAAAGTACGTATCTGATGACATATAAAAGAAGAATAAGTGGGAAGGAAGCATAGGGGAATACTTAGCTCATATTTACCAAAGAATTTGTAAATGACTAGGAAATCTGAAAACAAAAAATAAAGCCTAAATTCCCTTTAAACATCACAGTTTAGAATAGCTATCTTAGTAACACATTTATATTAAAAACATCACAAAGTATTTTCCAATAGTTGAGTTCAAAACACCTATGCAGGTACACTTCCAGTTATAAAACAAAAAAGTCCTGGGGATGTAATGTACAGCATGGTGACTACAGTTAATAATACTAGACGGGGGCCGGCCAAGTGGCGCGATGGTTAAGAGCTGGCTTGGGACGCCAGAGGGCCCCGGTTCGGATCCCACACATGAGGGCCAGTGACACTGCCTTCCACAGCTAAGATGCTGAACAACAGCTCAACCTGGAGCTGGGCTAACGTGAGTCGCCAGCGACGGCATAGGCTGCAGCCCGTGGCAGTGGGTTTCCATGGGCTACCATATGTAGCCAGCAGCCAGCGTGAATGGCCAGTGCCCGCAGTGAGCGGCCGTCCAGAAGCCGGCGACTGATCTGCCTCGCCCGGGAAGAGCGCAATGATGGTGCCAACTTGGGCCAGTGAAGCAACATCCT